CCGCCCCAGCAGGGGTCGGCGGATTTCGCATGTTATTATTATTACTATTTTATGCATTTTTTGTCACGTAGACGTAGACGTCCGGTCTGCTGTCAGTTCTGATCGGCTTGCAGGAGAGTGTGGAGCGGAGACCGAAGAGCTGGCAGAAGGGAGTGCACGCGCGCTTCCGCTCAGGTCGAGGATCTCACCTCGAAGATCGCATCCGTACTGGCGAAAGCCCGCATTGAGGGACGGCTGCTGAGGTGCTATGGGCCCAATCCGTTGGCAATGCACTGCTCGATGCCTTTTGCTTTCAGGCTGACCAATACCAAGAACGCACACTTGCGTGATGAAGACCGGGTGGGAGATGCGCTGCGGGACGGTGAGGACGTGTTGGCCGTGACTCAACCGGAGCTAAAGTGAAAGTTCGATTGAAATTTCCGTCGCAGCGAGACAAGCTCTCCGCTTTCAGCAATTACCTGAAGTTACGAGCAAGGTACTTACCCAACAGCTGGAAGATCCGGCTGCGAGGCTTTGGGTGTTCGCTTGTTTGAACCTTGCTAACTTGCTTTCGCAGCGCGAAGCGTGGAAGGAGGGACGGCGTTGGCGCTCCAGTTGGTGCTCCGACCTTGGCCGTTCGTGCGAACGGGAGCCGACGGGAGCGCTTCTTTTCGCCAGAGGTCACAGCCACTGCGGGCTCGGGCTCGTTTGCCAAAGTCCCGCGGTACGCCATGCAAGAGGCCAGGACATGCCAGGACCCAGGGACCACACTCGGAGGATGGGGGCAGCTTTTGCGAGGCAGAGGCGGCGGCTCTGGGTGCTGTGCCCAAAGAAGCCACTCGCCCGAAATCTGCTTCTTCCTCCCTCCTTAAGACTCGTTAAGCTTTAAAACCGCAAGCTCCGAGGTCGTTGGACCGACAGCGCCTGTTAGCGTCATGTCTGGTGTGGCTGCTCCGGCCGAGTTCTTGCCAGGCGGGCTTTGGTCCTGAAAAGGTTCGGTTCGCTGAGTGACAGCGTTCAGGCCCAGTTGAAGCTTTCGAGGAAGACTGGAAAGTTCCTGCGAGCCGCACCGGGGCTCGCGGCACAGTCTAAAGTTCCTCCAAGTTTACGAGCAGTTGGGATCAGAGCAGCCAGAGCCATCGCCCCAGCCAAGGTCAGCCAGGACAGATCCACTACTGTGGGACACTTCGTGGTAGTCTTAGCCTGATCAACTTGCTCAGAGGAGGCATCGCCAAAACGGCCCCGCTGCGACTGGGAGGTTGGACGGCGCAGGATGCATCGAGAGCCATGATTCGTGCCACCAATTCCCGCAACTTGCAGGTGGAGCAGCTCACCCACAAGTTGCGGGAATACGTTGTGGCACGCTTCAGGGAGGCCACGTTGTCGACAAGGACAAAGCCTGCCGTGCCATGTTACAGTGCTCAATGCTTGCAGATGCACGAGATGCCAGCCGACCCTGGTTCGAGCTATATCATCGCCTCAGCCCAAATGACAGGACATGCTATTAGGCTATGTGCAGGTCAGGCGCGTTCTTTCCAGGTGTCTCTCCGACCCCGTGAGCAACCCGGCTCGGTAGTGTCGCCACTCCCCCTCCACTACAGGCCAGGGTCTCAAGAAAGGCTGTCTTTTCGTTGATTACTTGGCTTTGATGACCTCGAGTTCTCGAAAAGCTTGGCCAGTGTGGCACGGGTGGACATCATCGAGTTTGAGCGCCTTGCCCGGCGCAAGGTCCAGGAGCAACACAGGGGCGCATTCGGAAAAGACTTCGGGATGGGGACCACCGCGGCAATGCAGGAATGCCGGATGAGACTGGATTTCTTCAGGCGATGCTTGGAGGCTCTGGGAAGCACATGCAAAAGTTTGCAAGTGCCCGCCCGGTCGTTTGAGACGCGCGACGTCGGGAGGCTCTCAACTCTCTACTAGATCGAGGAGCTGGTCGCGAGGCAGCGGGACAGAGGCGAGTGAACGTCTTGACGGGGAGATGAGCAGGCATATGTCCCAAACATGCCCGGGCCTCGGCCAATTCGGAGTCATCCGACATTGCTTCGGTTGATCTGATCAAGTCCGAAATTGCGCTGACAGACATCTGGAGGCTCCCATACAGCTACAGGCAGGATGAGGACAGGTTTACATCGTGAAGCAGCGAAACCGGGTGCTTGAACACAAAGACACTTGCCACGATGGAATGCTGGCAGGAGTTCGGAAGCCTGCTGGAAGAAGTGGATGAGGGCACCTTCGGCCAGGCATGTTGCACAGGGTTGACGGACCCGTCTGAAATGCGACCACGAACCACCCGATCGCACAGCTGCTGGTGTTCGACTTTGGCCAGGCTGAAGGCTTTCGGCCGGTGATCGTGCTGGACACATCCGGGCCGCTCGGCCAGGCCGGCCGTCAAATGCTTGGTTTGGACGTCGCTGTTGCTGTATACACACAGATCCGAAGTACACAGCGCAGAAACATTTTGTGGTGCGCGCGAGTAATTGGCGGGCGTTGCCGCCTTTGAGTGTGGACAAACTAAAGGGGCAGCTACAAAGCAGAGCAAAGATTACCCATGTCTGGCAGCACCTCGTCTTCGTGAAGGCTGCCATCAAGCGGCTGATGCCGGGGCACTCAGGTTGTAGACATTTTGCGGATGGTCTCCCGTGATGTGGTCTAAGCGACATCGAGACTCAGAGTCGAGCAGCTCTTCAGGTACTCCTTCATCGTGGCGAAAAGCAGGCCGGCCAAGACTCCATGCAACTGCACTATTCTCCCGGAGCCTTGAGGGCTATGTTCGTGCCAGGTTCAACATCATTACCTTCAATTCGTCAGGAAAGGCTGTGAGCTGGGAGGAGCTATCTTCGCATCCAGCTCGTCGGATGCCCGCACATGTCACCACGAACACTCATGAGGACCATCTCGTGCCACCCGTTGCTCAGAAGTTGAAAGAGGCCTGTTGCACAGCAGCACAGCGTGCTTCAAGTGTCTCCAGTGCCTTCATGTACCTCTGCGAGGCAGAAAGCTTCATCGACATTGCACAGCCATGTTTCCAAACGGACCTTTTGGAGGCAGCAAAATAGCTTCTAGCAGCTAGCGATCAGAATGCATCTGGGCTTCTCCTGCTTAGAGCACATGCAAAGTCCTATGCCCTGCTGAGCAGGCAATGAGATGGGCAGTACAGAGCTGTGACGCCGCTGCAGCCTTGGAAAAAAGACTGCGAAATGGCGTTCGCGAAAGCTTGCTGAGCCATGTCTGAAGGATATGGTGTACTTGCTCACGTCCGGCTTCTGCAAAAAAACCGACGTCGTGCAACCCTGAGTAGGCTTGATCTTGTCCCCGAAGAGCCGATCCCAACCCTTAAGACCTAGGAGTATTGCCGAGCAGATATCCGTTCCAGAAATCTTCGTCAACTGCTGCTTGGCGAGTTGAGGGTCACGTCGAGCGCAGGATCAGAACAGTAGAACCAGCTGTGGCGCAAAGCTGCTTTCTGCATCAGGCCCATCCACGTCATTGGCGTCCAGTGTGAGGCTAGGTGGAGTTCGCTCTGGGCATTGGGCGACGTGTTGTTGCACCAAAACACGTCTTGAGCAGTCGTTTGCCATGCTCCCTGGGTTTGTGTAGAGAGGCGAAGCGGCAGCCACAACACATCGTTTGCTGCAATGCGACATCGGAAAGCTCATGCGCACTGTCGAAGCAACCGTATCAATCGCAAGTCCAAGTCACGATCTTGACATGTTCATGTCGAGCATAGCTTGGGCGCCTCGGAAGGTGCGGGCGGAGGTCGATCTTCGGCGGCTGGCCGAAGAGTTCCAGCCCCAGACGGATCGATCCATGATTGTGGGTCTGCTGTTTGCCCGCCCAAGCTAGACTGCGTAGTAGGCCTCAAAATGCCTCGCTCGAATGGTGTACGGTGTTTCGCAAGAATACTGCAACATGATTTCCTGTACAGCGACCCAGCTTTCTGCAGGGAGCTGAGTCCAATTCGGTGGTCTATTTGCCAGGATGGCAGTTCCGTTTCGTGTCGTTGCTCGGCAACCTTTCAGCCTGGCCCGATGAGGAACAGGGGCTCATTCCGTCACAAGAGCTTTCGCTCCAAAACGTGGGTGCCTCAGTCTTGGCCTTGAGAGCTCGAACGTTAGCCCTTTCCCCATGTGGAACAGTTGCGACTCGTCATGACAAGAGGCTGTGTGCTTCTGCAGGCTTAATATAGGAAAGCTGAGCAGCCGGCTATGCAAAAGTCTATATCCCACTCAGCTAGTTTGGCCCTGACCCCTGACAGCACCAGAAAGGTCGATCTCAAAATGCTTTGCGCAGCTGCTCAGCTCCAGGTATGGGCATTGAACTTTTGTTCGCAATGCCCTTGCCAGTCCCTTGCCTGCAGGCGCACCTCGGCTCCAAAGAAGGCTCTTGGCAAAGCAGCCCAGTGCCTTTCAGTCGGTGGACAAATCGACATCCTGGAAGTGCTTGTGGCTTGGCTGATGGATCTGATTTGGGCTTCAGGTTGCATGGTCGATCGTGTTGCTTGTGTTTTAGACGAGGTGAAGGAGCAGGAAGTCCAGATAACAGATTGGCTGGAAGAGCAGAAGTGCTCGAACCGGATCCTGTTGAGTACTACATCGCAGCTTCCTGTACCCGATGCTCGGCAAGCCCGCTTTGCAGCGGGCCAGCTGGTCGTCAATCAGCTCTGTCGTTCTGCGCCGCCGCCCCTTCGAGAGCTGCTCCAAGGGCGAAGGCCACGGTCACGGACGTGTTATGGTTGCTCTCCACGAACCGAGAAGTGGGCTTCGGACGATGGTGCTCGTCGTCCAGCTGTTCAAAATCCATGGGACCGACCAAGTGGAGTGGTGAAGGTCTCCGAGGCCTTTGTGTAGGGTTGGCAAGCAGAATCTTTGCGAAACAGGGGTTTGGACAATCAATTTGTCGGTGCTTCTTTCAAAACGCCTCTCTTTTGGTGCAGGTGGCATCCTGCGAAAAGGGCATTCACCCTGCCCGAGCCGCTCTGTATAGGAATCCCGGCCCAGGCTATGAGTTTGCTCGATAATCTGATTACGCGTTGTTCAGAGCTCAGAACCCTGCAATCGCAGAAGTTGGCACGTGCCGTAAGAGGCATGGCCAGCCCAGGGTTGATTGAGTCGCCTCCCAGCCACCTGCAGCGGGAAACGCGCGCTGTGAATGGCAAACAACTCAGCAAGGTTTGCGTGGCACATGGTCGATGCGACTGCACCCTGCGTGGCTTGCAGCTTTTTTAGTCACTAGCCGGAGGCGTTTCACTGGCCATGTATTTCATGTTTTGATGGCGGGAATTGCAGAATCAAGAGACACCCCAATCTAGGTCCTCGGTAGCAGACCAGATAGGCATTCAGCCGGCATTGGACCGACGAGTGAACGTAGTGACAAACCTGGAATTCTGCTCCTTGCAGATGACGAGAAGCCGAACGGTTTATAACACATGCTTTATAAGGTAGCCGTCGTCAGTTGACCTCGGGATTTTCAATACTATTTTGACACAGCCCGACATGCCCGTGCCGACGAGCAGATCCTGAGCTGAGGTAGTCGTCGCGGTGCAAGTAGCCCTAAGAAGTTTCGAGTCTTTCGAGGCGGCCTCTTTACAGCTGAGGACAGGCGCATGCTCTTGGTGATGCAGAGAAGGCCTGGGGCGGACCCAAGGACGCCAATCCTTTCTGTGCCTCTGGCAGCTGTTTCGAACCGGCCGCATGTGGTGGCTGGGTTGCAGACCCTGACCGAGCAGCTCCGCCTCTTGACTCCCTCACTCAGGGCTGACCCTTGTGACAAGTTCCAACCTGCCTTGATGGCTCGTCACTGCACGCATTCCACAACGGCGAAGCTTGTGGCAGAGTGCCTGTGCAGGACACATCTTCGGGAGCTGAGCAGATGGAGCACATGGCTTCGATCCAGGAATCGCTGTATACCTTCCGTGCAGAGCAGGACGATACTTTTGCCAAATGTTGCTCTGATAAGAAGTCTCCCATAATTTGGCCTCAAGGAGACGAGAATGAGAACAGCCGTATCTTTCTAGACTGTCCGAAAGGGGTGCTTTAGTTTGCTGTCATAAATGATGATGAAACATGAAAGTTAGAGCATCCGCAAAGGCTATGCTAAATTTGGGACAAGCACCCACATGTCCTTGCCAACGCCGGAGAAACGTCCATCTGGATGGCTTGCACTGTTGCTCCGCAACCCCGTCCCAACTTGTACGAGAATCCGCCAGCCTGTAATAGTGCAAAGGAGGCTTTGGTGGCGACTTTGTCGAGCCTGGTGCAACAAGTGGACCTCCTGTGCGAGACCTCCGCCGCTTTGCCTCAAAGGGCTGAGTTGTGGCCTTCCGAGCAGCTAAGAGCTTGTCATCGGCACAGGCAGTCAGACTTTCGAAAGTATGGCAATGCCTATGGACTCCAGACGTGCGACTGATCCTAAGAAATTGGAAAGACCTGCAAATCCTTACCTGAGGATACCCGGGGCATCCGGGAGGGAAGACGGAGGAGTATGAAAACAAAGTTTGGTGCCCGGGCTGAGAGCGAGTTCTTCTCTACAGACGCGGAGGATTATGTTCCTTAGCTGATTGGTTATTCAAACGTTTTTGTTCCACTGCGTAGATACTGCCCAATGCCATATCATACAGGCACGGATGTTTCCATCAGTGGCGTAAGAGTTGACACGGCTCCGTTTCGTCTCGTGCAGCTCTGGACAACCTGCTGTCTTGAGCATGTTGCCCCCAAGATACGCGACGTACTCTAGCGGAATAGGAAGGTCGCACAGGCGCAGCCCCGCACGCGCTTTGCAGACTCTTCCCCCTGCCTTTTACAACGAGGCCATCTCTACGTATTTGACCAGGATCACAGGGGCCATGCAGGAAACCGACGACGACTACGGCATGGAAAAGGAGAACTCGGCTCCTGCCGACACCTGCATGGATCGCTGGAGGGCTCGATGTCAATGGCTGCTTGATTTGCATACTTTCTCGTCGACCCATACGCAGCATGATGCAGCATGAAACTGTAGGGCCGCAGGGCAGCACGTGACTTGTGACGTTCACATGATGCTTTCTTTGTGCCAGGTTGTTGGCACTGTATCCTTTCGACTACTGCATGGGTGTAGTTCTACTCGTCAACTCCATTTTCGTTGGCATCGAAGTTCAGTCTGGACTGGTGAATCAAGAAGCACCAGCCTGGGCGACTCCATTGGATGTCTTATTTGTGGGGTTGTACCTTATCGAGATTACGATACGCCTCGTAGGTTGGGGCTGGCATTATTGCTTCACGGATGGTTGGTTCGCCTTCGATTTTGTCTCGGTGGTACTCGGGTCTGCCAGTATCATCGCACAGCTGCTGGGCCCTTTAATCGGCAGTACAGAACTCCTCTCTTTCTTGAACTCGGTGATCGTCGTGCGCTCCCTGCGCTTGTTGCGGCTCGTCCGGGCCCTGCGCATGTTGCGCTGGTTCCGGACGGCCTGGAGGCTCGTCTTTGGACTCCTTACCTCCGGGACGACCATGACCTCCACGCTCGGCCTGGTCCTGCTGACGCTCTACGTCTCGGCCTGTTTGGGTGTGGAACTTATCTCCAAGGACCCCGTCTTGATGTCAGACCCGACCACAGAGTTCATCGTGGAGCACCACTTCGGTTCCCTCACCATGACTATGCTCACCTTGGCTCAATTCGTGACACTGGACTCCATTGCCGCAATCTACAGGCCGTTGGTTTACCTCAAGCCAGTTCTGGTCATATACTTCTCAGGAATTATCCTGGTGCTATCCATTTCCTTAATGAACCTGGTGACAGCAGGGCCCTCAGTTTGATCAGCTTCCGCGACATGTTCCCTGTTCCTGGAAACATCCGAGAGATGCCTGAACATCTGCACCCCGAAGCTGCCTCGATCATGGCGGCGATAAGCACGAATACTTGCACGAACATCGTGCCTTTCCGTGACTGGGTTAGATACAGAAGCCGTGAAATAAACAGCCCAATCGCTCGGCTGTAGACTCATGCTTGAGAGTGGTTGAACGACATATGCAGACATACAAGATCATATATAAGGATGCAATTGTAAAGCGTTTTCTAGATAGCACCACATCTACACCGGTTGTTCTGTGCTCCTGCAGCATTTTCGCATGATGTTTTGGCGGTCAGAGGCCGCTGGCCATCCTTTGCTCTCGCATGAACGGTGGGTTTTTGTGGGGTACCTGGATGTAGCCAAAGTCTCTGCGATGCATTTTTATTTTGACACGTCATCACTCTGCTCCGGTTCTCCTGCAAAGTGTTGGTGCTGGCAGTGCTGGCAATGTGCGATGCTACAGCACGTTTACCAGTGCCGCTGCTTCATTCTTGTTCCTTTTCGAGCTTGCTGAGGCTGTGTTGGTGGAAGGAGCATTGGAGAACGCTCAACATGATCGAGAGCTCAAGAGGCACGTTTTGCAGGAGAAGCTGAGAAGAGCAGTGCCCTATCAGACTTCGGTGGCAAGGTGGGTCCATCCTTGGGCAGCAGCATGTAAAGCACGTGGCAGCAGGTAGCAGATGGAGTTTCTGCCCCGTCTAACCAAATTTAAGCATTCAAGCTATTACTTCTTGGAGTGTTCTCACGGGGTTCCCCTTACTTGAAGCAGCCGAGCTGCATCGTAGACAACTGAGACGTGATACAACACCAGCATTTGGCACAACAAGCGTCGCTTTTCTGAAAACCTTACCCGCCGCACGTGCTCGGCCTGTGTTTTTGAAGTTTCTATCCCACTTCTTCCAAAGTCATTCAGGTGTGTAGTTGGAGCTCTCCGCCGTGTTGTTGTGGCGGGCTTCGGCCAGCGGGTAACTGTAGCAATGCGACCACAAACAAGCGTGTCGCGGAAGCTCCAGCGTCCCTCCACCACGTTCGTTAGGTGTTCGGGCCCCGGCACCTGTGACAAAACGCAGGGTCCACACCTGTTTTCGTGTTTTTCCTGCACTCACTTCTGCTTTCTTGGGGTGATGTGTGTTTCGATGCCCTGATGTGTGCATACGTGTGCTACGTTACTAGTAGCTTGGAGTTTGGTCCAGTTGGAGTGGTTGCTCATCCCAGTGTGGGTGGCTTGAGTGGCTCAACAAGGTTGGCCACTTTTTCTTAGGTACGGTAGGTACCACCACAACCAAGCACCTCTGTCGTTCGTTCCGGGCTTCTCTGGAGACCGTGAACTGCATAGAAGGAAGGGCAAGGGCCAGTCTGGGAAAGCCATGGCAGCTAAAGAGGATTCAGCCAAGATTGTTCAAGACGCTTCTTTTCGAAGAGGGCTGAGGAACAAATGCCTTCAAGCAAGTGATGCACGGTACATCGGCCCGAGATCACGAGTTAGAGCTTATTTGCAGACGGAGCGGACGTGATAGTCAGATTTGCTGTCCATTCGCTGAGGCGCCGAAGCTGTCTTCAATGTTCGAATCGCTGGATGTGAACCAAGATGGTACTGTGTCGCTAGAAGAGTTCATGCATATGTCTTCAGGCGGCAAATGCTATTTCTGGACTTGTGAAGCTCCCACGTTTGGAGTTCCACGTTCCGCTGCTATTGACTTGAGGTCGGTGGATGTCTTCCCGCAGGAGCTCTTTGACAACAGCAGTGTGTCCAGCTTGCAGGAGCTTGAATCGCCGATTGTCGCATTGAGTCGTACGAGAGTCTGCTTTTCTCGTGTTAACTAAGCTTGCTCAGCCATACGAAGTTGGAACGATTGTATCCATGTATTCGGCAGGAAGTCTTTGAAATTCTGGACATCAGTGGCAAAGGCTTTCTCTCGCAGTCGGAGTTTCTGGGATCTGATTTCTGCAATGTTTGCGCATGCTTAATTAACTTCTGATGTTGTCGAGTGATCCAGCTAGCCAGTCCTTTATGCTCATGTCAAGGTTTGTGGAGGGACTGTTGAACATGTTTTTGCTCGACGTGCCGATTCATACAATTCAAATTCTTCGGCTGCTCCGTATCGTAGAGTCTCGCATCAATGGGCTGTATGACGAGTTTCGAGAGCTTGGTGATGGCAGCATGGACACGTCGGATGGACTGGGTGCAGCTG